AGGACAAAAAGCAATGAGTTCAAACTGAAACATGGGTGAACATCAGAAAGCATTTATGAGGGTGACAAAGCACTGACACGGGTTAACCAGAGAGGTCGTTCAGTCTTCCTGGGAAATATTCCAAAGCTGTCTGGACATGGTCCCAGACAACTGGCTCTAGGTGGCCCTGCTGGAGCAGGAAGGTTGGACAAGAGACCTCCGGAGGTCCCTTCAAACCTCAGCCATCCCACGAGATTGCTCTAACCTCCATCATGCTGATGTATGATGAAAACTTCAGAGTAGGACTGGGTTAGCCTACCTGGCTTGCCCTTGGCATTTAGAAGCAGCCACCATGGCAGCAGGTGAACTTCAGCCTTACCATCAGTGAAGACATCACTCACCTCCTTCGGGAGAGGAAAGAAAACTATTACCTTTTCCAGGAAGCAGCTAGGCTAACCTCTACCTGAGTTACTCTCTACTCTGATTCATCCAGCCCTGGCAGCACACTGGCACTTCCATTACAGCATGTTTTCACAGGGATTAGATAGAATTAACCATCCAGAGCACACTTGGGGATGCACAGCAAGAGACCAAGATATCTGCTGCCTGGCAGAGGCACAATCACCTCCCCTAGGCAGGGTGGGGTTCCCCGTGCCTTCCCCTTGCTTCCCAGAGCAGGGTGTTCTCAGCAGGCACCCTTCCTTCCTTCCCTTCTGTAGGCATCGGACTGCAGATGCCTTCATCAGCAAAGCAGACGTCAGCTGGGGGGCTCTGAGCCAAAGCATCCTTACAACAGACGTCAACACAGCAGAGAACATCTCCTCGCCTCCTTCAAACAGGCGCGGGACGAGGCACCCCCGCTGTGCCCGCTGCCCATTGTGGTACACATCCCCAGTCCCAGAGACGCCTGCCACAGAACTATACCCTAGAGCAGGCTGATGCATTTTATTTTTTTTTTTGTCCTGCAGACCTTCCCGTGCTGGGATGGCCTTGCAGCACAGCATTTGTTTCACAGGCTACTTCCTCACCAAATACTGGCAGGGGTGAGACGGACAGGGGCTTTGGTGCCGGAGGAACGGCTGCTGCTGAGCATTTTGGGGGGTAAAAAAAAGCAAACTTGCAGGAGGTTACCAGAAGCTAGATTTCTCACCCTGTAATGGCGCAAGCCGTTTCTGCAACAGTTTCCTTACCACGTTGCTTCAGCAGAGACGAGAGCATCAGCAGCGCCAGTGCTGCGTTTTCCAGCATCCCCCGAGCACAGAGAGGGGAGCTCAGGAGAGCGAACAGATGATAACAATTTGCAGTAACCGACAAGGGCTGGATTCAAACGGGAGGCCAAGAGGTGAAAAGGACTCACGAGCTCACACGTTCCCTGTCTGGAAGCTATTTGTCAAGTCCCCGAGAGGCAGGCAAGGGCAAAGCCCAGCTGTGCTAAGGAGCTGAAATTTCACCCTGGATGCGTTACCAGCCCGAAGCCCAAGTACCAGGGCTCACACGCTGCTCCTTGCTCTCCCTGGTGGGATGACAGCCTGCCGCCTGCTTTCCTGCAGCCTCTGTGTGTCCAGTATCACGCTGAAAGCAAGCTTTTGGTGCTGGTCACTCTGCCAAGCCCAGTCCAACCAAAATGCTGATGTTCAAGCACCCAGCAGAAGGACTGTTGGGCTTGGTATCACAGCTAAGCCCTGATCAGAGTTCACGCTGCCCCAGGCCACCAGACACAGCCAAGGCAAAGTTTCCATCACCCATCAAGCACTGAAACTGTTCACCTACCAGAAGAGTACAGGGTCTGCAGTGACAAACCCACATGCTAGTACAGGGTATGTTCTCTTCTGTGCTGCTCCTTTTCATCCTAGGGTCTCAAAGCATTTTAAATGATGCATTAAGCCTCCATTAGACAGTGGATGCTTGATATTATCTACTCACACATGCAGTTAAATCATAACAGAAGAGCTTTCACTTGCTCAGGGCTACCTAATCCTTTCCTAGCATAACGCACGCAGGTATGCAAACTCAGCTTTGTATTTTAAAGCGATGTTTTCCCTACCAGCACCCTGCCCACGGAGAAACGAGGACAACTTCGGTTTCTCTTCCTGCCAACCCAAAGCTGCCCTCCTTAGATTATGATCTCCCTCCCTGCGCACGCTGCACCGAGATCTATTTTCACCTGCTTGGAAAGTCAAAGGAGCTCCAGCAAGCTGTGCTAAATGGCACAGGAGGAGAGGCCCTTTGCTTCCTTTCTATCCTCTCACCCAGCATGTCAAGAACAATTAATCTCATCCCCTGGAACAAGCTCAGCAGCTCCAAGTAGCCTTTGCCATACCCTGGACCTCCTCACACCTCTGCCCACCCCTGTGCACCCTGGTGCCTCTACCTCAAGCCCTGAAGGATTTCCCTGTTCTCCTCGACCCCGTGAATCAGCACTGCCCAAAATAAGCCAGGTCTGCCCACGTTAGCAGAGTGCCAGTCTTCCTGGGACACACACGGCCTTCATTAAACGGCAAGTGGCTGGCAGCAGGGCCTGCGTGTAATGAGGTTGCCGTCCAAGGACCACGACCGAGGGGCAGCTGGGAGAGGGCATTCACTGCAGCACCACGGGTGTCCGCACGAGCCAGGGCGTTTCAGCCCAATTAAGGGAAAGAAAAAAAAGGCTCCTAAGCTAATTTTCCAGTCCTTTGGAGGAGCGAAGAAAAGCATGCATTGAATTCCCCTCGCTCAGCCTCAGTAGGGAAGAGGCTGACCAGCCGGGGTGGGAAACAGGCCTGGCAATTGCCCTCATGCAGCCCCAGCACGTGCACAAAAGTATCTCCTCATCTGAGAACTTACTTGCTTCTAAAACTCATTCATCTCGCCTGATACCGTGTAATCTGCCAGCCCCACGGAGCCACAGGAATGCAAAGTAAGGCTCAGGGAAGAGAGCGGCGACCACATCTGCTGCTCAGGAAGGTCTCTATCTGATCAACGTTATCAGCTGTATTCTTGTGGGCAAGCACATGAGACAGCGAGGATACAAATCACAAAGCACAGCCTGATGCTCGGGGCCCAGATGGAGCCTCAGAGCAGCCCGTTAGTGCTATCGTTGCTCATTTGCATTGTTTTCATGACTAAAAGCCACATGCTGCCCAGACAGCTCAGAAGAGGCATTTTTGGTGGAGCACGAAGACAGACCATGAAAGAAACGTCCTGCTCCTGCTTCACAGGTGGGGAGTAAAGATACCGAGCAAGACTTGCCCAGTTTCACAGAAGGGTTCTGTGGCAGAACTCAAAACCAAAACCAGATTTCACATCCCTGTCTCAAGAAACAAGTCAGCAGAAGTCTGCATCTACAACGCTTCTCTCATTATTTTCACAGCAAAAACAAGCACAGGTGGCAAGCAAAGACATGCAGTGAATGAGACTTTGTATTTCTTCCTTGATCTAGAATCATAAAGCCTCAGGATCACACCAGCTGAAAATTAACAAGTTTTAAAAGATAAAACTAATAGAAATAACCAGACTGTTACCAAATTCAGGCTGCATCTCACTTTACATGGGTTCTCCATTTTTTTCTCCCCCCCCCCAAAAAAAAGTACATTTCTAACATCAAAAGCCATTAGCTTAATATCCTTTATTTAAAACAGGGATTCCACATCCTAGAAGTGGAAATGACATCTACAATAAAAATGCTATTAAAGAGAGAAAGACTAGATTTCAACTTCTTTCAGAAAAAAAAAAAAAAAACAAAAAAAACATTGCTACAATTAACTCAGAATCACAGAGGTTAGACAATGAACCAGAGAGCGAGTCATCCTTACAAGGTTTCCCAGAAAAACCACAATGGTTTAGAAGGATTATTCAAGTCAGCCTCTAACCTGCTCAGTTTGCCCTTGCCAGCACACTCCCAAAGACACTGCCGAAGGGGACGAAGGGCAGAGCAGGTAGATGCTATGCCCAGCATCCAAGTCAGAGAAAGCACCTGGGCAGAAAGAAAAACTTCTCCATTTACTCACACGCACTCTGAAAAACAGGCTGGGCACAGGCTCTTCAGCTTTTTTGTCTCCTCTCATTAGAATGAGGGCCTAATTAAAGTCTGTCAGTATCTGTGGCAGATCTGGGTGATGTGAAATGCAAGACTGGGCCTTTTCAATGTTCCGGGAGCAGAGACTTGGCAAGAAGGTATGAGAGGGCGATGAGGAAAACGGCACTGAAAACAGAATTGTGTGGTGTGTATTCACAGTGTGCATGCTGCCAGCGGGACTTGAGAACAGGCAGCTATGTAACGAGGGAACGCAGGGGTCTTATAGACCTTGGGAAAGCAATACCTAGCCCTTTCTTTTTAAGGGGGTCTATCTTAAAGGAGGACACCCTTAATGGGGGTAAAACTAGTATATCCAACCAAAGGCAGCAAAATTCCTCCCTAGTGAGAGGAAACTGAGCTGAAAATAACTGTCTTTAACTTACTGCTGTTTACCACGGGCAGCAGATGTTTGCAGATATTCTTCCAAGCTGATGCTCTACCAGTGCAAGAAGGAAAACTAATGATGAAGAGCAAGCTGCAATACTAACTCCGCAGCAACACCTTCCAAAAGAGCAGCACCAGATGAGCAGTGCCCAGGCCAGCCCACCCCCCTGCACCAGGCATGCCCTGTGTGCCTCCCTCAGCAGAGCATGTTAGGAACATTAGGAATGAAATCCACATTTACTTTCACCACTCAGGTATTTCTTTACACAGATTGCCCCTGAGCAGTTAGTTCATTTTGGAGTTAAGTGGTACGGGTCAGCTCATGGCAGCAAAAGGAACCTGCCCAAAGCTATCTCCAGTGATTTTGGTCCTGTGTCACGCGATAAACTGGACACTGTGGGTGCTGCACTCCTAATGAGTAGCAAGAGGACAGCTCAGCTGTAGCAAGAGCACCAATTACACCTCTGAAGCCATAAACACAAGAAGCAATCCTCTGAATTTACTGAACCCTGCCTCCGTAACGCTTTTCCATCTTCGCTTCTCTCAAGCAATGCTGCTTTCCTCCTGTCAAGCTCTGCCTTACCTGCTGCATTTTTTCCAGGTCAAGGCTGGGCCTGCGGACCTTATCCCCGTATCCCTGCCGATGTCTCTTACACGGCATGACTTGCTCAAGGCCCGCCCCAACGCTCGTGAAGATTAAAGGTCTAGAGGCCGTGCTCCGCACCAGGGGCTGGAGTCTTTTGGGAGGGGAGGCACTGAACAGCACGGGGCTCGGGCTGGCATGCAGCCCATCAGCCTGCTCCGCCACGGGCCGGAAGGACATGGCGCACAAGTTCTTCACTTCTTCGTCGCTGGAGGAGGTGTTGTTGCTGTCACTGCAGCAGGCGAGCCTGCTGACCTGGGACCACTTCCTCTTCTCAGCAGCAAACTCCCGGTTGATGCGCTCCAGCTCCTCCTCTGAGCTGTGGCGGTCCAGGCTGGCATGGAAGAGGGCCCGCACCTTGCAGCATGGGTTCTCCTGGTTCTGGAGCTGGTTGGTGGCCAGAGGGGTCAAGGTACAGTTCCGTCTTCTCTCTGGTGGGAAGAAGAGAGAGAGGAATGACAGAGCGTATCTGAGTCCCATGGCATAAACCAGGCCTGATTTCTCCTGACACATTTTCTTTACTTCCTTCCAAGCAAGCTTCTGAGCTGTTTCCCACATTTTCTTCCACAGAAGAAGTGTCCCTGCTGAATGCTCCCCCCTGAAAGTTTCCAGATCTTTGTTAAATTACTTTAAGTAAGGCAGAGAAAGCATGTAAGTTGTATTACTACCAGCAGCACTCCCGTAGCTCAAATAGGAGAGATCTGGTTTCTGGAGACAAAAGTCCTCTTATTACAAAGCTTGACATACAAAAGAGCCTGCCTTCAGCCATAACCTGGGGTTGCTTTACCTGTTCTGCTCAGCTCTTTCTGGAGTAAGTACATGAAGCAGGACTTTGAATTTTGACAGGACATGCCCTACAGGTCAGGAATCTGACTTCTCCTGCCCTTGCATAAGACCCACCTGAACTTGTGATAAACTGTGATAAAACTCGCAGCGTGTACAAACAGCAGAGACATAGCATAACTCAGCAGATACATTTACTACAGATTTCATCCACAGCTCTAATCTGCTTCATACCATATCCAAAACCTCCCTTCTGTCAAAGATCCCCAGCTAGATTCAACAACAGAGCTACCCAATACCCGTGGTACAGGAAGGAGGAAGGGCAATAATTAGACAAGCGAGTCCAGGGGAATGGGGAAAAGGTCAAGATCAGAACTGACAAGGAAGATGAAGCTTTGAACGAAGATGATGCAGATACACAATCATGCGACAGAAGATACATGTGTACTCCCAGCTCTGCTGGTGACTTGACTGGAGAGCTTGCCTGCCCCATATCTGCAGTACTGGCGGCTGAACATGTGGTTAATGATCTCTCTCTCTGGTAAGAAAAGTGTGACTGCAGCATCTGATTCCATCAGCTTCTCCCTGAGAGGTCCTAAAAACTTCAAGGTGCCTGACTTAATGTATCTGGCTGGGGTACAGTGGGGACTGTAAAGGAGGTACTTGCACGAACCCAAGCAAAAAGCAAAATGCACTTCAGCTGTAGCATCCCAGGACCCTCCTATCTTGTCCCTTTACCTCTGTCGATCTGAACAAGTTCCTGGTTCTCTCCCTCAGAGTCGTCGCTGTCCTCATCACTTGGGGGGTAGGAGATCTAGGGGGCAAGGAGAAAGAAAAGGCTTCATCGTGAACACCGAACATCGCCCTGCTGCTGCCCGATCCACTTCCCCCTCCTGCCCCTCTCGTATCCTGCAGGCGTCCCCCCACCTAACCGCACACACCCAGCCGCAGCACCTCCCCGTGTGCACATCCTCATCTCCCAACCTCAAGCTCCCATCACATCCTCTTACTGACAGCAACACCAAACACACAGCCTACCGCTATTTCCACCTCGCCGCACCACCAACTCTTTCCCAAGCACAACGAACGCGCCCTGCTCCCGGCTCCCCAGATACCCAGCTCATAACCACCATGGCCTACCACATCCCCATCACGTGGGCAACCGAATCTCCAAACCCTCCTCTGAAGAAAATAAAAAGACATCCTGTCACCAGTGCTATCATCGTGCAAGGCACCCATATGGATGGGGCACGTTAACTCTGGCCATCTCATCTACGCACCCACATTTCCCCCTTGAAGGCACACACGTAATCCACCAAAGAACAGACATCTTGCTTTCCTACAGCATGACTGAAGGATGTCATAGAAATAAAAGTGTGAACAACATTATGCTCTCCCTACCACTTCTTATAGCTCCACTGAACACCCTTCAATATTTGCTCCAAGAGAAATGGCACCTCGTGGATGTTGTCTGTCAGGGATTTTCAGAAACATTCGCGTTGGGTCAGCCAACGGTCGTGAGCACGTCACTTACTGCATACCCAAATACCGCTTACTCTGAACACTTCCTACTGGTAACTGAACTACGGTAGCTACCTCTTGAGAAGGGCTGAGAGACCTGAATGTAAGTTTTTGCAGATTGGATCAGAAACTCAGCAGGAGATGGCTCTACGTAGAGGAAACCCTACCTACCTTGTTCCTAAAGTGACTTTTGTTCTGCTGCATGCAGCATACCTGGAAGTTATTACACCAGACCCAACCTCTGAGCTACTCAGCTCACTGTGTGCCAAAACCAAGTGAGCTGCAGGAAAATGCAATACTTCAGAAGAAACATTTACAAGAGACAGTTCTGGAATAACATGATCACTGCAAGATGAGCTTTATTATCCCTCACGCCTTTTTATCCAGAAAACCAACAAACATCCCCATTATTCTTAACTTGCAAGACTCGGACAAAGCTATTTGCCCACAACAGTATCCAGTGGCAATAGGTTTCAAAAGATTACATGCTGTGTTTCCATTTTAAAGGCATTTGATGTGCTGTGCTTGACTTTTGTAGAAGGCGAGGCAGCAAGCAACCATCACACTGATAGGGACCCGTTTCCTCTCCACCACTGTTCTTAGGGAAACATCCTTGGAGTGCTTCACCCCCCAGACACCCAAAAGAGCAGCTACGCTTACCTGGGTGCCTGTGACTGATGTACAGCTGATGCAGAGAAATAGCAGGAACAGCAGAGCAACACTGACTGACACTAAATTTGGCACCATGAAGTCAACCCACCTACTTTGTCACCATCCTCCAGGGTTGTTTTTTGTTAAACCCCCAAAGAAGTCTGTTGCCACTTTTGTTTTTTTAAGAACTACCTTACACCCTTCCATATTTACATTGCCCTTTAAGAAGCCAGAAAATATTTTCCCACCTTGCTGGTCTTTAAGTGACTTCTCAAGTTGTCAAATCACAAACGGGTGATTTGTGATTTACCCCCATTTCTAATATTCTTGAAGTCAATGCAGGGAGCAGTTTTTCTACTGCAACTACAATTGTCTGTACTCACACACGTGTTATTTATCAAATGCAGCTGGTGCTGAGGAGCACTGCCAAATTAACAGACCTGTAGCTGTCCCCAGAACAGGTATAACACCCTGTCTGTGCCGTGGCAGCTCACGGGGCAGCTGACACTGAGGTGCCATTGTGCTGGCTGCTGGACAGTGGCCTCATCTTCAGTGCAAAAGCTCGGGCTCCGACTCTAGCTTGAGAGGTACTGACCTCAGTTTGTAGCTCACTTCCACGTGAAAACAAAACAACAGCAGCATTTGGACACCGCAGGATTTTCAGGGAGGTTTAAGGTCTCTACATGGGAAACCTCCCAGCTCTGGGTTTTGCACTGTGTAAATGTCGACACACGGCGTGCCATTGCTCCCCAGAAAGAGGCAGTGACACCTAGCACGTGCAGGTCAGAGAGCTACTGAACAACATCACTGGCTTGAGAGGATTAAAATAGGAGCTGGATTTAAGTCAATGATTGATGTTTGTCTACCAGTCCTGGGCTTCCAAAACACTCAGTCCTTCCCGTACAAGTGCAATTTAGCTGGCCCCGATTTCATCATGGATAATTAGTCTTCACTAAGTTGTTCTCCCCAGTCACACAGGCAGCCCAAAATTAAACCCCTCTGAGTTGCCTTGGGAAGAGAAACCCTCTTACAAACAAGAAGAAACCAAACCTGTGGATTCAGTCTCACCATATATAGCAAAGAAATTAAGGTGGTAGGAGAATACAAAAGGCTTCATGGAAAAAGGGGGCTCCCACAAGCTTGCTAATCAACCTCTTGAGGGTAGCCATGGAAAAAAGCAAGCGGCAGTTGGTTACCGGAGCGGGTGCTTATGAGCAATATATCAAGTGCTTTTCAGAAGCAATGCAATTAGAGGCATCTATTCAGCCACTCCTGGCACCCATCTTTTCTCACAGAAGAACATCACACCTATAGCACATTTCTCATGACACTCAGACTTCTTTCCTTATTCCTACTGGTTTATTATACCCTTGTTCTGGAATACCCACTGGTTTTCATTGTACACATCACAGGTAACTGCAAAGGAGCCCTAAAATCCAGCAGCTGTGGAGCTTATGCATGAATGAAGTAAAAAGATGACAAGACTCAGAAGTCACGTTGCCTGTGACGTCCCATGACCTGTACTGCCTTTCCAAAGTCCTCTCACTTCTGATTTTGTGTGGGTTACATACACACAAATACCCTCCTGCTTCGTCCTCGCATCCTTCAACCAGAAATACCATCCTCCCCAGAAGTCTTTTAGCAAGGCTTCCTATTTTAGCATTGTTAACTTATCCTTTCATTAGAAAATCTTTCCACAAGTTACATCCTGGCTTTGGGAAATGAAGTCTTCCAACCTCCACAAGCTCCCACGTACGAGATCCAAGCTCCCACGTTCCAAGCCTAACAGGGAACCACTCTGTTCGTAGCAGACAAACACAAATCTCACAAAGTTCAAATCGGACACACAAAACTCTTTGCCATCACATGCCACGCAGGCAAAGATTAAAGGAAGAGCAAGAAAGGACTGGACATTTGTACAGATAGCAAAAAATTGCAGGAACTATAAAAGGTACAGAGAGCCAAAGACCAATGCTCTGACAAGTTGGAGATAAACGCTCTCCCTGTTATTCTTCCTAGGTTTTGACAGCGAAACTTTTGTCTCTTCAGAAATATTCCAGTAAACACAGGGGTGCTGTGTTATGGCCTCCAGCTTGCCTGGAAAGCTCTCCATCCTGGGTTAGCCACAGCTGTACTTCTGTCTTGGACAGCACAGCCTTGTTTGCCACACCGACTCAGAACCGTGACGCTAGGATAAAAGAAAACTTGATCTTCACATCAGAGATCCCACTAGATCACAATTTGTTCGCAGCACTGTTTAGATTGGAAGGGACCTCTTGAAATCCTCTAATTCAGCCCTGATCAAGCTGGATCAGCAAGAGCAGGCTGCCCACGACCGTACCCAGCACGCTCTGTACTTCAATGTGCACAACTGAAGAGCAGAAAATCTCCAATTCACATGGACAGCTGAGTGTTTACAAGCCATGCCACAAAAAGAGCCAAAAAAACAAGCGTGGGTGCCCATCCACCCTCCAGTCTTCCTTCTGGAAACGTGTCAGATCTGAAGTTCAGCCTCCTGCCAACAAGGATCTCAGCCTTAGGGCCGGGTCCTTCACTGAGGTTACTGCCCCGTGCACTTGGTATCACACCAACCCCCAGTGTGCAGAGATGGGCTCGTGTGGCATAGCCAGACGGTATTTAAGGAGAAACGAGCATAAAGCTTGTAATTTAGAGAGATTTAACATAAAAGACAAACAAGCAGGCATAAGGAGCAGCTAGAGACAGAAAAATCTTTGTCTCCTCCACATTACTGCTTGTCAGATGAGTAATGGTAACTAGCTGCAGCCAGAATCGCCCCAGCCCTAAAAGGCCCGGTCACCCTTAGAGTCTAAAGGGCTGAAATCCTGTTGTATTTGTACAGTAAAGAAAACATCCTGTTAAACTGCAGTTCCTCCTGGGCTTCGCTTAAGGAAGAGGAATTAACTTGCTGTCATATGATCAGAAGTAATTCCATTAGGATAATCTGGGAGCTCCCAAAAGGAAAGGCACTCTCACTTCCAAGGTGGAACCAACCTTTCCCACCAGGATGGGCTGCACCATCCCAAACCACACCAGCAGGGTGGCTCGGCACAGCAGAGGCTGCCATTTCCATGAGCAAGGGTCCGGATGGGATAATATTTGGGCAAGGATGTTTTCTTGCTGCTGGGGAGGACAAAGAAGCTCTTCCCTGTGCTGACTGCAGTCTGTTCTGACACAAAAATCCTGCTCTTCCATGGCCACGGGCTTTCCCTGCACCAGCCAAAGCAGCAGCTGGGTTCCCCTCCTTGCAGCATGAATCACAGAGGCACGCAGGCCGGAGGGCATCCTTCCCAATCCCTCCCTGGGAGGAGGCAGGGAGTTCACCTCGGGGGAGGCCGCTGCTGCCTGTGCTACCACACACGAGGCCGCTTGCTGCACAGGTTCATTCCCTGGAGCACCCCAGGGAAGCTCTGCAGCAAAGCCAAGCCCCGTCCACGCACCCTGCCAAGAGACCTTGCTGAGTTGGTCTCAGTCACCGGTTCCTGGCACAGCAGCAGAAAGGGACGATGAGCTCAAAGACTACTTCTGCTCTGGGGAACCAGTTTCCATTTCTTCACACTTGGGCTTGAAGAAATGAAACCAGCACTCAGTACTCACTCACCTTCTCCCCACCACACTACCTAC